CAAATAGTTTGTGTATAATGTACCAATATACTTTTTTCTTAAGACAATATATAATAAAGCCCAATATGTTGGTGGGTTATATAGGTTAGACGAGTTGTGGTATTACATTTTTAAATAACTGTTGTCACAAAACACAGAAACTTTCTCTTAAATCATCTATTGTTTGGATTTAATAACATCATAATATGTATTATATTACACCGAATATCATTTATATGGAATGTGATATTTGTGGTCTGTAAGTGAACTAATTTCTACTTGCAAACCACAGAACACGACAGGAAATAGATTTAATTTATCACTTGGTTTTAGATAATATGCCACATTTATTTGTAAATAATCGATGTTGTTCATGAAACGTCACAATATTCACTAAAAAAAAAGAGGGCAAGTGGGTGTCGTTCTGCTTACAGTAGGTAGGTTACAAGTGGGTCACTACTCACTGTAATGTGTTACATTTGAATTTAATGATATAGTATCATTGTATGAAAAAAACGATTCTGAGCAAAGACGGTTTATGTGGAACCTTGTCTTAAACTTTCAATCCTAAGCTAAAAAATTTGAAAATTTTATAAATTTTATCAAAAATTATACTTTAAATGATTATAAAATAAAATTCTTCTGATGTATCTTTAACATTTTTAAACTGCTGTTGTAACAATATTATAGGAGCCTTGTATTACATTTTCAAGCTTTTTCACCCAACAAATAAAACAAATTTAAACCGATATGTCCGTTAACAATTCAAAATATCATGTATAGAAAATGCTAATATAAACAACCAGTGAAAATGTCAAAATGACATGTATATACTGTAATTTGTTTTAGAGTTACATTAAGAACCAAAATCGATTTTGTTGAAAACCGATTTTGAGTAAAAATTCCCGTTTTCCCTTAATTTTTCTCTGCACTTTTGAAAAATATTAGTAATTTATTACATTGGACTCCCCAAAATCCCAAAGTACCAACTAGATTCACTTTCCTGTCATAAAAAATACTGTTGAAGAAAATGAAAACCCAAGCTTTATTACTGTCCTAGGAGCTGATGAACTGATGGCAGACACAAAAATGAAATAAAAATGAATAAAAAAAAATTAAAAAAACCCCATAACATTAAATTATAATTATAAAATCAATACATTCATCGCTTCGCTCAGAATCTAAAATGTTATATTATACGTGTAGCACACTAATATAGTCCTGACATATATTATGATAACAAAAAAAAAAAAATCGTTATATTGATTAGAACTAAGGGTATAAACTATAAATATTTTTCAGGTCTTCCTGTTTCCCTGCACACTGCAGTATATTATTATGTTAGCTTCAGCGGTATCGTGTTCAATATAAATCACGTTATATTATATTATTATAACAATCCTTTTTAAATACGATCAAGGCTCCGACCGGGCAGGGTTGGGCAGTATCTTCGATACAAGTATCTAAGATACGTATCTTAGATACATTTGTATCTTGTATCTTGTATCTCGATACAATTATGTTAAGTATCGAGTATCTTGTATCGCGATACATTTTTAGTCAATGTATCGAGTATTTCATGAATTAATTTAATCGAAAGATACTCGATACATTAATGCGATACTTTGAAAAATTAATTGTTTACGATTATTTTTACTCGTCAGAAACCACTTTTGAAAAGTTAGTGGTGTAATGGTTGTATATAAAATATAGGTAATATTATGTTACACACGTACTTTGAATTGGACTCTACGTCTGTAAGACTGTACCTTATTTTTCTACTATGGAATAGTAGTTACTTTACTGGAAGTAGTTACTTTTTTTAATGATAAGGCTAAATCGTTAAATATTCTAAACAATTATCCAATTATAAAAAAACTTTTTATTAGATTTAATACCAGCTTATGCTCCCCAGCACCCGTAGAACGATTGTTTTCCATGGCAGGATTTATTAATAATCCTACCAGAAATAAATTATCCTATATAACCTTTGAAAAACTTGTATTTTTAAAAGGAAACAAAGATAAATTAACTATATAAATGAATGATGTTATGTTACTATTACTATTGAAATTAAATTTTTATTATACTAAAATTAGTTTTATTATTTATATAATTCAATACGACAATAATACCAAGTAAATATAATTTTTAATGTAGAATTATTATTATTTAATTGTTATGTAATCGTATTGTGGTTATTTTTGGTAGAATCGTAGACGATAACAAGATTACGTAATGTCGTAATTGATTTATTTTATTTTGCTTTATTACTAATGTATTATTATTACTGAAAGTGTCAATGTTTTTTATTTTATTTTTCATTCTAATTACTTAATGAAGTGGCCATACCCACAATAATAAACATAATTTTTAAAAATCCAGTGACTAATTTTATTAAAATGTATTGAGTATCGAGTATCGAGTATCTTGTATCGCGATAGTCCAAAGCCAAGTATCGAGTATCTAGTATCGCGATACTCTAGAGCCAAGTATCGAGTATCTAGTATCTCGATACTCCAAATCCAGGTATCTAGTATCTACTATCTCGATACTGATTTTTGAGTATCTTGCCCATCCCTGCGACCGGGACTACTAGGTGTTTGACTATTAATTCTCTTCATTTGTTTTTATTTTTAACTACCTATATATACTTGTTTTCCGTTATTAAAAAATAATATTACTATGATGTTATAATATTTTCATGTATTTTATCACCATCCCGTTGACAAATTGTTTTGCCTCAAAAGTTTTTGAAAATTTATAAAAGATAGGCTCGCCACACATGGTGATCGTGCCGTAGTCTTGCCTATCAAATGTATTCTGTGCTATACATATTGGCTATAAAAAATTTGAAACAACGTATTATAAAATAGTAGCCATGTAATAATATTAGCTAATAGTCAATAAGTAATATTTAATGTTATGATAATAAGTTATGAATTATGATAAATAATAAAAATTGGTTTGTGCATATTTTACAATTTGTTATTGCATACCTATAAAATCCTAGCCCTAGTTATTACCATAGGTATTGCCGGTATAGGTAGTTGGAATGATAACACAGGAGTTAGGGGTGTTGAGATAGTAATAATTGGTAATGTAAAAGGGTCAGTTCATAAGAAGTTTAAAAAGGTCAATCATACAATATCGAGTACATTTTGAAGATTCGTTAAATAAGTAAATAGGTACATACGGTCAGACCCAGTGTTTTAAAATATACTTTTAGTATTCAAATTTATATAGGTACAGATACTTATTTTTTAAATTATTATTATTTGAAATACGCATTTGAATACTGATAAGTAAATAAAATGTATTTGAATAAGGTACCTTGATACACGCGTCTCTTATGGAGATTCATGGAAAACGGGCGTCGGGTTTTGATTGGATAAGGATGATAAGATGAAGTGATAAGGATTCACAAATAAATTTATATACAGCGTGTCCCAGAAGTCCCGTATCACCCTTATTATTACCGTGGAAAATCAATATATTTAAATTCAGTTTTTTTTACAGTCATAAGTATGGAAATTCTGATTGAATAGCATAATTTTCTGTTTTTTTTTTTTTAAAATTATCAAATTATCAAATTTTTTATTTTAAGCAAATAAGTTTTTTAAATTTCCAAGATAGCTATTTGGTTGATCGTATTCTTTAAAACAGTTCAAAAAAAAAAAAAATATTAAAATGTAATGAAATTCTCCCAAGTTAGAGCTAATTATTATTTTTAATTTTAGCCGAAAAATCAGCGTGATTGTAATAATTACCATGCGAATTGTATTTTGCTAATGGCGTATGCGTAAGTAGCACAACTATTATTCTTTGAAATTCAAAATAATAATTACCTTTAACTTGGCAATTTTCATTACATTTTAATATTTTTTTTTTTTTTTTGAACTGTTTTAAAGAATACGATCAACCAAATAGCTATCTTGGAAATTTAAAAAACTTATTTGCCTAAACAATTTTTTTAATAATTTTTGAATTTTTGAAAAAAAAAATCGAATATTATGCTATTCAATCAGAATTTCCATACTCATTACTGTAAAAAAACTGCATTTAAATATATTGATTTTCCATGGATATATTAAGGGTGATACTGGACTTCTGGGACATACTGTATATTATAGTAGTAAATTAGGCTGGACTCATTAGTAATTTTGCTGGAATGTCATTGCACTGCACAATACTTAAAGAATTCGGGGACGACGACGAAAATATGATTTGAACAAGAATGGTCGAAAATCTGTTAACGCGGCGACGCGTTGGTGGAAACCACGAACTAAGATATACAGGACTGGAAACGAATGTTGATACGAGTACATCTTAATATTATGATTGTGCGGGGGACGAGGGAATTTCGGTTCTTATCAACACTAGCGCTCAACTCTTGGCTGGCGGCCGCTATCCGAGTTAATAGTTATTATTTATTAATTATTATTGATTTTGATATTTCTCAGTTATGCATTTAAACCAAACATTTTGAAAAATAGATTCGTTAAGGTTAAAAAATTACCATAGGAACTGGCAAGTAGCAACCCAAACACAATATAAAAAAAAGATACTATATATTACTCAATATTAGGTGTAACGTCTAAGAAAATAATTAAATATTTGAGCGGTTTTTTTTTATATTTTTGAATGTAGGAAGTAGGTATCATGATTTCAAAATATTATTATAGAATATAGATATTAACTATAATTTGTAATAATTTATTGTATAATTATATTTAGTTGATAACATATCATGGAAATAAGACATAACATAGGTATCTAATATCTATTATATAGGTAGCATTAATTAAGAAATAAAAAATAGGTAGAACCTACCTATAATTTATAAAGTACCTATTATGTAGTAATAAGTTTTGATAACTTTGTTTTTTTGTAACTTTTCTTTTTTAGTTGTTTGTTTTGTGACAAAGTAAACTGTTTCATTCTCATAGTGATGTAGTATTGGAAAATATTAGTCATTATTTCTGCTTTATGACACAACTAATAACTTTAAAGTATTTAATTTATACTTCCTTGGTTTCTGCTGTTTCAGTTGACTCTAGAGTGGTTTTAGAACTGGTACTGCTCCAACACGAATATGTCCGAGATATATCCCATGGATTGAAATGTAACTCGCACACTCGCGATGTTGATAATATATCTTTACCATTAACTTCAGATAGAACGTTGATCCATTCTTTGCGAATATTTGGATTTTTCGGTAAAGTAAATAATGAAATTTTTTTATTTTTTTCATTATGAGAAAGACAATTTATTACACAACACCTCACCATAATTGTGTGTATTTTAAGATAAAAAAATTAAATAAAAAATATAAAAAATATTCAGCATGCATCTTTCTTAAAAAAGTTGAACATCAGGTCACCAAAGTCAAGATCAAACAGACACAATTATTATGAATTATAATTATACTGTTAATTAGGTATAAAATGTATAATTATATATTTTACGAAGCATGAAAAAGGCGGGAAATTAAGCTCCTGTTGATTAGCATACCGATTTATTAATTTATTGTTTTGGATACCTAGATGGCGCTAGTGTTGACAAGAACTCGAAGCCCCCGTACCCCGCTCATTGTATACATTAAGGAGGATTTACCTCTCACACCCTCCAACCTTGTTGTTTCCAGTCCTGTATATCTTAGTTCGTGGTGGAAACGAATAAATCAGTCGATGGATAACTTTTACCACGCAGACCGACAAGTGTACGTGTACGTTTACGTGCATATGTTGACCGGATACCTGCTTTCGCTATGAACGGTCCCATCGGTTGATCGGTTAGCATTGGTAACATATTAGTTACCTCGTATATTCTTATGTTATCAAAATTGTTATCAATATAGAGCCGTGTGCACGTGAAAAGTTGAACTGGATCCAACTTTATGGTATCATGGTCAAGCCTATGGTAAGAACGTATAACACTCTGGTATACCAAAAGCTTACCATCTTTACCAACCGATCACAGAAAAGTATTTTTATGCACCTACACTCACACGTAGGTATCTAGTGGAAACCCGCCTTTAAATGAGTAATGACACTGTCATCTGTTCGCGAATAACGTAAACTTTAATACCTATAGGCAGCGGTCGTGGTAGAAAGTATGCTGTATCGACCGTGGTCAAGGTAACAGACCTATTATACCACGGTTTAAATACCTACGAGAAACGCGATTTTTTCCGTTATTTGTTAGTATTATTGGAAAATAGTAGACGTCAATCATGTTCTTCCACGCCTATCGTGTCGTCTCATTTTCAACGATTATCGACCAAACCGGTTTCTCATCGTTCTCCACTATATAGTTACTTATTATCAGAGTTGATTAAAAACATGATTTTTTTAAAAAAATCAAAAAAATTGTTTTAATCGTTTAAAACATGATTTTTTTGTTTAAAACATGTTTTTTTAAAATGATTTTTTCAGCTGTTTTAAACATGTTTAAAACATGATTTAATCGAGTTTAAAACAAAATATGTAATTTATTTTAAAAAAAAATCATTTATTTTATAATTTAATATCATAATTTTTTTATAACTTGACGTGTAATTTAACCACGGCTATCGGTTTTACACTTAAAAATCGTTTTTGAATATTTTGATAATGATTGATGATAAAGAACTGATCTGTTATCTACATCGTGATAAAGAATACTGATTACTGTATTTACTATTTTAAATTTTGGTGGGTTTGCGCCACAATTTTTCCGATTATAAAATATGATAAAGGTAAAAAATATTAAATAATAATATGATATGATATCAATGAAATTTAATTTTGATGTTATTGAGTTATTCTTCTGCATCTGACATTACTAAAATACTACATTAGCGACAGTGTGAAACAAAATAAAACTTAAAAGATAAAACACATGTTCACGGGACGAAGACGTGATGACATTTGGAAATATTATAGTGAAGTTTCTAATAAATAAATAATTAATAAATATATTACCTACAGAAATAATATATTATATAAACCATTGCAGTGTAGTAATTTAAATAAATAAAATTATCATTATAAATTTATAAATTTTAAATTTGTTTATGAATTAAAAATAATAATAAATAGGAGTTTCCAGTACGAACTTACAAATAATAAGTTTTATGCGCATAAATTATGATTTTCTGTTTTAAACTAGCTGTTTTTTTTATGTTGTTTAAATCATTTGTTTTAAACCGTTTTTAAACAAACCATGTTACGTACGTATGTTTGATTCATTTAGATGTTTAAAACATGTTTTAAACAAGTGTTTAAAACAAAATGTTTTAAACATCTCAACTCTGCTTATTATTAATAGTGGTTTGTAGTGAAACGAAATTCCAGTGAAAAATTATTTCTACTTATTATCATTGATAAACACTATTTAAATCAATATGTAAGGTATTCAATATCGTCAATCTCATTATTTCCGACCGTATTCCATTTCCAAGCCGACCCCGAGAGCAGTGCGTCAAGGTAAGATATTGTACATCTTGTCACCTATATTATTCATATGTTGTTCATAATATGAATAGCTACCTACCTATTTAAGCTAGACATTAAACTTATAAACACATGTTATTTTGTCAGTCATCCTAACGGGTATTTTTAATTAGTATATAATTTTCAAAGTGTCTAAGGAACCATATCCACATGCAGGGCCGTATTCCCACTTTTTGGGAGATGAGTCGCGAGATACCTAGACTGACGTACTTCTGTTTGTAAAAGAGTTTTAATTCCGTCGTCGTACAATATTGACAACCATGATGACGATGACATTCAAAAATTTGCTTTTTCGAATTAAATTGCAATACAAAATAAATCATTAGGTACTTCAAATGTATTTGGTATTACAAGTGGATTACATTTTATATTATAAAATATGCATTTGAAATTAATTCAGATGACATTTTAAAATATTATAAATTAATGATGTTAAAAATGCATAACATTAATCACATCTTAAACCACCTTAAGGTGGACTACAATTGTGTCACACTTTACACAACAATTCACCAACTTCAAGTTATTTTATCTTCGAAACTAAGTATTACTAACAAATTATATTTGCACTATCGTTTTCATCGGACAAAAATACAATTACTTAGGAAAAAGGTGACGGTGTCCGACAAAATATACTGCACTTAATTTATGATTAGAAAATAAGTTAGGTCCATTATAGTATATTACAATATTGCATTACCTACATAATAGTTATAAAAAAAAATATGTTTATAATTATTTAACAATGTGTTACCCCGGTGTGAATATTCCATTATTCCCCCTAAATACGTATCTGTATTTAATTACCTTAAGAGTCCAATCTCAGAAGAAGTTTAACTACATTATTGATTGATGTAACATAATTTACAAAAATCAAAATATGTGCATAGGAAACGATAGATTAAATACTATTTGAAATTATACTAAGATGATCAAATATGAACTATTTTAAAAGGATACAAAAGTGATCATTTTATAATGTAGGTTATTCAGAGTGTTTTTTTATTATACATTATCGTAAATAATATCATGTTTATTTGATATGAGTTATGTATCTTTTACACATTACGAGGTAAATTTATTCTCCTTATCGTAGTTTCAGCATAATAAACTACTGATATGATAGAAAACACTGTAGTTTTTTTTATTATTCGTGATACATAAAATCTGTTTTAGTACACATTAGTAGACGGTTTTGACTTATTCACAAAAAACACGATTGGCCAAAAACAAACGTTTTAAGCTCCGTTAAACAATAATTGAAACTTAAATAATATTTTCTTTCATTTCATGCTTATCATTTTTTCTTTTATAAACATTACACTTGTTTAAAATTCGATTAAGTACCCAACCTTTTATTATGATTTTTAATTTTAATCAGAATACTTATTTTTACAAAAAAATTATATACTTTGAATTTACGTGATATTTTAATAAATTTGTAAGTACAATTATTTATTATTTATAATGTGTGTATTATTTCTGTTTTTTATTTCCAACGAATATAGTAAGTTATAGTTTCATGTATAATATTAAAAAATATGCAAAAGCAATATTCATTCTTATTGGGATTGTATGTTTGGATGTAGTTGGGTCACGAGTTTAGAAGTAAAGGTGAATAATTTTATACAAATGGTTTTAATTTTTAATGTATTATAGTTTATTATATTTGAATACGTACCTTCTGGCATTGTGCAATTAATTTTTCAATTAAGTTTATAAAACACGAAAAATAGTATTGCAGAAACACAATGATGGTACAATGTTATAATTATTAACTAGGTACACTGTACATATCTGTTATAACTTCTAAGCAAAATATAATTTTAAAAAACAGTTAACAATATTAAATATATTAGATCAATGGCAAGTGCTGATATAAAAAATATAAAGTAAAAAATAAAAAAAATATCATATTTTATGTATAAATATTAATAAAATACACCTATATCTTTTACTGTTATTAAATTGCTGTTTATTATTTTATTTATATATTTCATGTATTATAACATGACATATACCATATCGACTGGTATAAGGCAAAAGGGGCTAAGTGACATTTAGGGGCTAAGCGACATGGTGTATACTACGGAACAAGCGATAGTTAAAGAATTCGAACACAAGAAAGCTAGTGTTCCTATGACCATTTGGTAATGAGATATTTTTATTTCATTTTTCGGTACAAGCGATGTTTATTTATAAAAATAGGGGCTAAGCGCCTTTTTTAGGGTATAAGCGACAATAATGAAAATTTTGCAATAGCCAAGTGACAACCACGTGGTGATTGGACCCCACTATTATCATTCATCACCTTTTATAATGTTGATAATATCAATATTATCAGACATTATCAATAATTAGATACTTGATATTATTATATAGGTATTGAGTAAAAACTGTCACGGCATTTTCGATTATATTACTTTTCTTTAATCGTTCTCCATGGTGAATTAATGAAACGATAAAGTTGAAATGGTAAGTTTCGACAAAATGCATTGTGTTTAAAAATTAATTGGAACATTTCAATATAACTAGGTAGTACCAAGCCGTCAAGCCCAAGGTGACATATAATGGAATCAAAATATATAATCACTTCATTTCTAAAGCTTAAATAAAAACCAAAGCACGAACGCCAAAGTTAAGAACGTATAAAAATTTTGTTTTTGATCTTCTGAAAAGTAGTTAAACTATCGCTTAGCCCATTTTGCCTTTTACCAGTCGATATGGTACATAAGGTTGAGCTACCTATGTTTTATATATTTATTTGTAGCAATAAAGTCAATCTGAACTGATCG